GGTAGGCTCTGGTTTTGGTAGTGCTAGGCCATGCTTTTAAACCTTCCAGTAATCCACTCAGCGGGGGTTCAAAACTTCTTAAATCATCTCTTTTCCATATGAGTGCTCTGTGAATGGCTTTGGGAGTTTGAATACCAATGTTCACTGGATTATGCCTGCATTGCGTATGTTTTCATGGCTTGTTATCGGAGGCATGAAAGACAACAGCTGACATCTGAAGTTGTAATTGTGGATGAGAATTCAGAAAAATAGCCATGGACGCTCAGTTTGGAAACCTTGGTGTCCTCTGAAATAATGGGATTATTCTATGAATAAGACCATGCAGGATGTCCCTATTTGTTTCAGAATTATTTTAAGAAGTCAGGGAAGCTGCTGAAATTAATCTTTCTGTAGTAAGTTTGCCTGCTACTGGGTTTCATCGGAAGGCTTCTGGCTGCTACCTGAGCAGAGGCTTCTGCTGCCGGCATCTCTGCAGCTTGTTCCAGGACTGTGTGCTTTGGAGCTCCATCTGCTGGAATTGTGTCCTGTTTCCCACATCTTTGGTGTTACTCTGCTGCCGGGTTTCACAGGAATTGGTTTTAGTTTAAAAAGATTACTTAGAGGTTACAAGGCTCAAAACACAAAATAATTGTGAGACTGAGGAATGGAAACATTCATTCTTCATCCACTTGTGTTTACAGCATTCACTTCTGGGTGTTTTACAGAGATTGGCATTAATCAGGTCAGTCATAACTTAGGAGGTTCAGTATGAGATTTCAAAAATAGGTTACTCACTTTACGCGTTTTTCTGAATTAGATTTTTGTTTTGTTTTCCCCTAATGTCTGTCGCTACTCTATAACTAAGAAAATTAGCAGCGTTTTCAGTATTAAATTAACTTTTACAAAAGCCATTCTTCCCCATTGTAACTGTGTTTCTAGTATTTCAGAATATTTAAGGACAGAAGGGACCGTGATGAATGTCTAATTTGATTTTTGTAGTCCCATTGTTCCTTAACAAAAATGTACTGCAAAGAATAATGTGCAAAATTGGAAAAGAGTGCCCTGCTGTGCAAAACCACTCTAAATCTGCTTAAGTAGTCAGAGGCTTTCACGGTAAATTATATGATGACTTTCTACAAGATTTTTTTGTAAGAAGTGCCATTCTCTGTCCAGAGGATAGATTGCAGTGTTGATGCCAACAATAACCTCTACGTGTGGAATTAGGATTGCCACCAGTGCCGCTCTGGTGGTGGCAGTGCATGTAATTCTAAAGAACGAGCACTTCTCTGGGAGCCTTACCTTCTCAAAAACCAAACCACCTACACTTTTAATTTTCCTTTTCTTTAGTTGTAAGGCTATTACTACCTTCTTTCGCCCTGTCCCTAAGCTAATGGGAGCTGTTACTAAGGCGCGTTCTGTTTCATAATGGGTTTGTGTGTGTGGTAATTTCAAATATTATTTCCTCGCTGTCCATCTGCCTGTTAGCAATATTTTGTGTTTGCTTGTGATGTTTGCAACTTTTTTTCCTACACAGCAAACTATGCCTGAACTGGTTTTAGTTTCTTGATGTGGGTAACTGTGCTGTTATACCTAAGTCTTGGGAATAGGGCTGAAGAGATGGAGAACAGCGAAAGCGCTGGGCTTGATGTTAAAGATAAGTGTTCTTTCTCAGTTCTGCCTTGTCCTTCTCATGGAGATGGTACACCGCGCTCCGTGGTGTGCTCCACAGATGCCCAGGCTTGTTCCAGCCTGAGCTGATCTATCTGCCTCTGCAGTTTCTTCGGTAACACTGCCCAGGCTGATGAACCCCAGAGCCTTGGTCAGGGTTATTCTCTGGGGCAGAGCACTGTGCTGATCCAGCTCTGTAACTTCCAATTTCACTGCTGGTTCAGGCTCCACACTCCACTGTGCAGTGTGATACTAGATGAATGATGTAAGGCTGCTGCACAGTAACCTGGATGTCTGCTGGTTACATTCTTTGCTTCGTGCAGAGCTGTGGGGTAAGATCTCTAATGCATATGCAGCAATGTATTTCATTGAAAGGCGTTTTTCAGAAAGTAATTATTACAGTGGATTTCTTGGGCTTCTGCATGGGACAAAACTGTCAGCCATTTTTTACTAAGGTTTGGAGGGATATTGTCTGTAATTCTTGACAGCTTCCTATAAAATGGAAAGATAGCTAAGGCATCTCTTGGTCGCTGGATGTCATTGTAAAATGAGTATGCACTGCCTTAGGCTGGTATTTAAAGTGCCATGTTTTGAGGTCAGTATTTTTTAGACCTGCAGAGATGTGGGGAATTCAAGGATGGGGACTCAGTAACTGCCACTGTGTTCCAAGATCAAAACTGCCCAGTATATACCTCTTTCCCACTGTATAATAAGTGAGATTCTTACTGTTATTTCTGTAGTGACAAGTACTTTGAATTTAAAATTAGTCAGTGAGTAATAATAGTCAAACCCCCCTTGTAGCTCACTTCGGTTCATGGGATGGAAGTGTGAGGGTTCTGTTGGGTTTAGTACAGGCCCAAATTCTAATTAATATTTCTGTGTCCCAAACATGTTGTTCTGATTAGAGGCTCTTTGCCTAGGCATTTCTCTGCAGCCTGCCCTGTTTGAAACCCTGCCTTTTTCTGACTTCACTTCCTGAATCCGTTGACAACACTCACAGCCAAACAAAATACATGTTCACAATGCTGTTATTTGCAAAATACTCCCTTGTGAGTACAGCTGGGGCAACAAAAAGAGTTTCTCTCTGAATCTGGGAGAGAACTGACTATTCCTTATAGAAGTAAAGCACATAATGCATTAGGCAATTTTTAATCTCAGCAATTAAGTAAGTGTTAAAATTTTGCATTTCACCATGTACAAATGCATGCACGTCTTTCCTTATAGCTGTATGTATTGATCACCAAGTGATCTAGTAATATACTGAGTGCTGAATTTTAATCTCTGCTGAAATGAACCAGATAGCAACAGGCTCACAGCCCACCGCACTGTTTACAAAACAGATGGAGGTGGCGGGAATATAAACTTACTTTGCCCTGTTTTAGGCCTGATCCTCAAACGAGGTGTGGAACCAAAGAAAGGGTTCACCTTAATCACCCCTGGTCTCCTGGTGAAACTACATAACCGGCACTAAAAACCACCTTGCTTGGTGGAAGATTCTCTGACTGGACACCAGTATGTCCCGAGCTGGACCAAGTCACGGCCAGCCTGTCCCACGATGCCCACTTAATGAGCAGTGCTGTTGCTCAGGAACGTTTTTGCCTGTGCTACAGAATGTCGTACTCCAGAGAGAAAACCCTTAACTGCAGTGCTAATGTCTGTGTGCGTACGAGGGCAGGGTGGAGCAGACTGTCACTCAGCTGTATTTAATTAACATAGTATTTTATATAATGTATTTATTTTTTACGTAATTAGGTGATTAAGCAAAATGTTTGCTAGTAACATGTATTCCATAACCCAGCACTGTTGAGAGTTAAACATGCACCTTTGCAGGTAATTAATCTCCTTGCCCTGCTTATTTTGCTAGTTGGCACTTGCTAAATCCCTGTAAAACCACACCCAGCAGTGCTGTGTATTATCCCTCTGCTGTCTATTCCTACATATGGTCAAAATCAACTTACCTTCCGGGTTGCTGACATCAGCAAAATGCACTCTTGGCAAACTGCAGTATCCTCCTAGTAACCCTTTGTTTGGTTGGTGTTATTACACTGTATTCCTCTGACACCAGCAGACACCCCCTGAACTGTGCCTACCTTGACACTGGGCTTATGACGTGGAAGGAGATTACCCTATTATCGTATTTTCCACATAAAAACAACCCCTCGTATGATCAAATGCATATAATACAGGGAAAATAAAAAGTTATAGGAATGATACTTCTATGCTTCCTGTAAGGAACTGACTGACCCACAGTAGTTGCAAGGTTCAAGGTATCATTCTGGTAATAGGAAATCATATCTATCCATCTTTTGAAGCGAGTTTAAACCAGACTCTTACTTCCATTAGTTATGCTTATTCCTATTTAAAAGAAAAAGTTTTAAGACTGCCTACTCTAAAAAAGTCAGCATTCACTAATAATTAATTTCTAGTATTTTTGGTAGCATCTATTTCCTCTTAGCTGTTTGGCTCTAAACAGCAAGCAGGAAAACATCTGGTGTCCCTTCAAGCATATGCTTATTAAAAACTGGGTAGAGTGTTGAAAATTCTGGTATAACAATTGTTTGCCCCCCCTCCCCAAGTTAAACAGCAAGCTTCTAAGTTATATATTTATATTGTCATTATACTAACCAAGATTATTTTATTAAAAAATACATGGGAAGTGCCAGAGAGGTTGCTATTTTCAGCACGTTGCTGAGAACAAGCAACAGGCACTGCTGGTTCTCAGCAAGTTGCTCTTTTCATTCCCCACTAAGTTCAGTTTTCCCAGCTTTTCTATTGCTAGAAAATTTATAAGTCACAGTAACACCCAAGAGGGAAGGGATTTCAAGATAGGGAAAGGGTCACATTATTATTTTACTACTGACAGCAGCATTGTCATAAATGTTAACAAACAAGGATCACCTACCTGGGAAGGAACACAGGAATAAAGGTGATTATTTCTATTTTCAAAGTCTGCAGCATTTTTTTTAATGCAATCGTTTGCCGTATCTTCTTGAGGGCATGGATTTAATAAAAAGTAAGTCAGATCAAGTAGTCAGTTGCTCCAATTATTAAGCCATTTCATACACTGGCTTCCCACCACTCCACCACCTGCTTGAAGTTAGCAGCCCGAACTGGACCACTAGAATGCAGCAGGCAAGCTCGTCAGGTTACACTTGAGAAATACAGCTTCAGGACAACTCCAAAAGCTGTATTAGCTTGGCAATCAGGATCTAGGTTCTCCCTCTCCTCACACATTCTCCAGGACGTGCCTGTAGTTACAGAGTAAGTCTAACATAATCCCTACCCTTTAGACTTTAGCATAAAGGGCATTTTCCCAACTCAGGTACTAGCAAAAAAGAAGTATGAGGGGGAAATGCATTTTAATTACTTTATTTTTCTTAAATATAACCTTCTAGAATTTTTCCAGAAACAGAAACATTAAAAAATTATACTTTATTACAAATGGTAAACTCAGAGTGCTAAAAAAAAGCCTCTTATTTACAAACAATACTGGGCAGTGCCCAAATAAACAACATAAAAATAACTTACAAAGTCATGAAGTAGTTTATTGACATTAATCAACTTTCATAAAATAAAATAAAAAAAGATATGTACATACACAATTTACTTGAAGGCAGGCAGAATAGTTCTTTTTGTGTTTAATCAGCCTCCCACAAACCTCCCTCCCAGTTTGTTTTTTTTTTCTTAAGTAATACTACATAAAGCAATCTACAGTTTTCTATTGCAGTTTAACCTTTAATACTGAATGATCGTCGAATGTTAGGTCCATGCAGGTCTTGGTCAATGTTAAACGAAGATCTGACATCTCATCTGAGCAGGAACAGCACTTCTCGGCATGGTGCTGGCTGCTTCCACTAGCTCAAGCTGAAGGCTCGCCAGTCTTTCCACACATGCGCTTTGCAGAGCACAGGCAGGACTCAGCCTTACAGCTTTTGCCATTAGCTTTATGCATCTGCCACTTTTGGTTGTTTTAGTTATACCACAATATCACAGTTCTCATTTAAGACAGTCTCTTCAAAACGTTTGCAACTGTTGTGTTAGCATGAGCTGGCACCCGCTGTTAACATGGTTCATGACCTTCTGCTTAAGCTGTGCAACCTGTTCTCTGAGCATGTTGGCAGTGGATGCCAGCTCTGAGTTCTGGGCTTTCAAAGTTTTCACTTTTTCTTCCAACCTGGCAATCCTTTCCAACTTCCTTTTCCGGCATTTGGATGCCGCAATTCTGTTTCTCATGCGTTTTCTCTCGGCTTTGATTCTCTCCTGTGACTCCATGTCAATAGGGGACAGGGGAGGAGTTTCCCCTGGCATTTCAGGTACAGTCTGAGGCTCTTCTTTCAAAGCCTGAAGCCTGGGATGCTGCACGGGCATCTGGGGGTTTATGTGGTGCTGAGGTGCGTAGCCCATGCTGTTGGCGTTGTAGTTAGGTGCCGAGTTGAGCGCGTTGGGGTTGAAGTTGCTGAGATTAGCATACACCGGGGGCTCGCTGTGCAAATTCGTGTTGAAACTGCTGTTGCCGGCCATGGAGGACACAGGTGCCATGCCGCTGTTCACCGGCTGAGCGGCGGAGGTCACGCTGGGCATGGTGTTCTGGTTGTGCAGTTCCGCCAGCGCTCTCACGAAGCCTTCCGCGAACCCCTCTTGCTCGTCGGTAACGTTTTTGGGGCAGAGGAACTGCGTCGGGGTCGGCGTGGTGGTGATCAACCCGTTGCTGGACTGGATGATGAGCCGCTCCAGCTCCGGTGAGGCCAGTTTCAGGAGCCCCACGTCGGGGGAAGTGAGGATGTCCGCGTTCTTGTTCCTCAGGTGCGGCTTCAGGTTGCTGGATGGGTCGGCCAGGTTCAGCGTCATGTTCTGCTTCAGCACTTTGGCGTTATTATATCCATACCC